AAGCGGACGGAGGAGGACGAGAAGCGGACCGGGGAGCGAGTGGCCAAGCTGGCCAAGTTTCAGTACGCCCTGCTCGAGTCGGCGCTGAAGTTCAACCCGAAGCGCATCGTCTACTGCACCTGCTCGAAGCTTCAGCTAGAGAACGAGGACGTGATCAGTCGCCTGCTGACCAGCAATCCCGATCTGCCCTACGAGGTGGTGGAGGCGATGCCCAGTTGGCCTGTGAGGGGCACCGGAGATTACGACTTTTCGCCGCTGTGCCTCCGCTCGGACATGGACACCACGCTGACCTGTGGCTTCTTCTGCTGTGTCCTCCAGCGGAAGGAGGGCGCTGAACTGGTGGTGAAGAAGGTGATCAAGAAGGAGACGGAGGAGGAGGAGGTGGCGGCGGTTAAAGAAGAGGTGAAAGAGGAAGAGGAGTCTGCTGAAGAGGTGACAACGACGACGACGACCGAGTCGACCGTTTTCGAGACGGCCAACGAGTCGGAGACTGAGCAGACAGTGAAATCAGGCAAATCAACCAGCCGACAGCCAGTAGTGCGAAAGTCGTCTCGAATCCGCAAACGAAAGGCCACCACTGAGGGCTCGGAGCAGTCGGATTCAGTTGAGGAGGTGGCGGCGGTGGCTGCGGAGGAGTCCGTGCCAATGACGCCTCGAAAGTCGAGGCGACTGCGCAAGTGAAGGAGAAGCAGAAGGATTGTGCTAGCATGAAATGTGGAGAATGAATGTATTTATTTACAGGAAAAAGGTATATTATATAACCATTTGTGCTCTTTATAAGTTATGGTTTGGGTGACAGTGTGAAGATGGGTTTTCAATAATTTACTATTGGCCTGTTGGGACTGTTGGGGCTATTAAGATTGGTGATTCGGGAGAGCAGAGTGATGAGCGATGACTTCCAGCCGGGAGGATGAGGTGCAAAATTTTGTTGGTGTTGCTGCTGCTGCTGTGAATTTCTATCTGTCCGCCTTTGCAGCACCTCAAACATTTGCACTGGGCGGACATTGACTGATGATGGCTGGTGGTAGCTCCAAGATGATATGGGATAATAGCTAGGTTGTCGGGGACGGTGATGGTGGCTGCGACGACGGTGAGGAGCGTTATCCTGAAATGAATTTCCACCATCAAACATTGATGACACCAGTGGCCAGATGAAGGGCAAAGGAGAAGCTTGTTGGCCATCCTGACCAGGGGACCACCGACGACGGCCAATCTGGTGGTGGTGACCAGCACCACCGCCTCTAACTAGATTGCCAAAAAGTACTTTGAACTGCGACTTGTGTGGCTGGTGCTTCTTGCTTTTTGCTGAACTCGAAACTCCCGCCATTTGGTTGACCATTTGCAGCGCCTCAGGGGAAAGATGTGTCAGCGGAGGAGCAAACTGCCCAAAATGCGCCATCATCTGCTGTTGGTGGTAGTCCATGAAGGGGGCACCACCACCGCCCACCGGGAGTGTATGCAACTGCTGTGGAATCTTCTCGAGCAGCGTCTCAAAGTCCACCGGACTAAATTGAATGGCCGGTGGCAGTGGCTCCATCGGTTTCCCAAAGAGGTAGTTGGCAGTCTCCTCCTGCTCAGAGGAGGGACCCTTATTGCCCAGAATGGCCATTGTGTTGCTGTGCACTACGCTCTCACTGCCCAGACCTCCCAGGCCAAGGTTGACTTTGCCGTTCTGTTGCTGCTGCTGTTGCTGCCTTTTGTGGAACTCCTCCACCAGCAGCTGGTCATCGTCGTCCCAGTCCACATGAAAGGGATTCGGCGACTGTTTGGGAGGTTTTGTTGAGGAAGGTGTTTGAAGTCGAGGACGGTTTGCCGGCTGCCCAGGAAAGAGAACTTTGCTTGGTAAACTGGCGTCAATGGCGTTGACCACTTCATTCACTTCGGAAGGCGCCTTCAAGCGGTGATCTTCAGACGTGGTAGTCGACGTCGTGGAGACGGTGGCAGTGAGGATGTAGTTGTTGCTGTTTGGCTTGATGCCGTCACCTCCATCGCCACTATCCACAGTGTACTTGTTGACACTGTTTTCACTGTTTTGGTGCTCGGTCAGCAGGTCAGTTGTGTTCTTCTCAGGAAACCATCGAGGAGTGTCGATTTGTTCCATCGGCGGCGAAGGACTGGTCAAAAGGAAGTCAGGCAGCGAGGAAGAGGAAGCGAAAGAAGGAGGCGAACCATGGAGAACTGACAGTTCACTGGAATGTCGATCCAGCTTGCGCTGTTTGGCCGGACTGCTGCTGTGCATCAGATCGGAAAAGTGCTGCAGGCCGAGTTTCCTCGAACTGCTGTCGGGCAGCAGTGTCAGATGCGGTGTTTCTTCAAAACGCACTCGATTGCGCTTTGGTTTGCCTTTTACCGAAGAAATGCCGTTGCTACTGCTCAGCACTGTTGGAAGTGGCACACTTCCCGTAGTAGAGATGTATGTCACCCACTTTCCAAAACTGTCATCGGAGAAGTGTCCGTCGGCAGTGGCATCTTCGTTTACGGCTTCTGTGGAAATTTGTTCAAGTGTCGATGATGATGGCGATGGTGATGGTGATGCAGAAGCCAACTGTTGCAGATGCTTTAACTGTGGCACTGCTGCTGCTGCCGCACTGCCGTCCTTACTGTAGAGCACTGAGTTGAGAAAGTAGTAGTTGACGGAGGAGCGACAGGTTCGCTCAGAGTTGCGACCACTGCTGCTGCTGCTGCTGTCGCAGGTAAGCTCTTTCTGGTTGAAAACGGCACTGCCCGGGCAGATGAAGGTAAACTTGAAGCCATTCCGCTTGCAGTAGTGGAAGATGCGACAGTCAAACTCAGGGTCGGAGTAGTAGCTGTTGGGGAGAATTAAAAGAATTATAAAAATGTGAAAACTTAAAGAAAATCACCTTTTTCAACTTACCCTTCTGGTCGACCGGAGCAGTTGAAAGTAATTTGGGAGAGCAGCTTCTTGATTGATCGGTAGCGATTGCGATTTTTTGCTAGCAAGTTTTGCTCTGGTGAGGATGATGTTGTGGATGGCGATGGTTGTGGTTTAGAGTTGGCTGACTCATTTTGAAATACGTTTTGGTTGCTGGTGGTGGCAATTGTTGACAGGTCGTTCAGAAGGATTTCACTGGAAGAGGAAGAGGATAGAAGAGTTTCATTCGGTTTCGGAATTTCAATAGATGTGGTAGGCTCAATGTTCACTATGTCGTCTGGTTCTTCTAAAATGGATGGCACCTATCCCAAAAAATACAAGAAAAAGAGTTGAATCAACTTTACCTCACAGTCGTCCTCTTACCTTCACTAGCAGCTGATCAACAGTGTATTGATTGAAAGAGTTGAAAAGAGAAGGTGACTTGCTGTCGATCTTGTCAGTGCTTTTTATCAGCGAATATGTGCCCAGATCATTGGAGCTGATGCCAGTGGTGGTGGTGATGGTGGCCGCCTTACTCCAGGCAAGGCAGAGGGTGACACTACAACAGGTGCACAGTAGAAGCACGAGATGAATCGAAGTTAATGATGATGCACTGAACATTATTTGAGCAGCCATTTTGATGCTAATCACGACGGTTAAGAGGGTTAAAAGTTAAAAAGAGTGTTTTCCTTCTTCAGCTGAAGAAAGTCATTACTGGACAATGAAAAGTGCCGTGGTGGCCTACTGCTGCGAGAGAAGTGAGAGCAGTGTCTGGTTACGGGTGCTCTGACCAACTGAACTGACCAACCGGCACAGCACTGTCACTCCAACCGACTGGACACACTTTCGAAACCGTTTGGTCGTGTCAGAGTTGTAGTGGTAGAAGCAGTGAGAGAGAGCGGTAATTTCGATTTCTTTGTTTCACTTGCTCTCTCTTCCTCTCTCGTTATCTTCACTGTCGCACTGTCCACTCATGAGCAGGTATCACCACCAGGTAGTCAGTCAGTCTGCTGTGGCGTCACCTGTTTACCTCTCCTCTCTCTTCTTTCTCTATCTTTTCCCCTCATGCAGTTACGGTAGGCTACCTACCGCCGAACTACTGCCTATCTTTCCACAAGTGCACACCCACACGACGACACTGCTGACCCATTTTTCGATCGGTGTGCAGTGTGTTCAGTTTCAGCACTGTCACTGCTGTCATTTGCTGTAGAATCGAAACCGTTTGTACTGTCCGTCTGTGTTCGACTGCGGCAAGTGACACTCACCTGTTACTACCTTCTCTGCCCTTTCTGCTGTTGTTTTTGGTTGCACTACTTTATTTAGCAATTGTTTCAGCCTTTGCATTCATTTGCATTTCATGTGCCGACGGAGCTTCTCCTTCTCCCGTCTCCTGTGCCCTCAAAGTGTGAAAATAAACTGTCAGAGCTTTTGGGTTGTTTGCTGCCGCTGCTGTTTTTGTTTTGCCCAAAAAGGAGAGCAAAATTGCCGCTTCACGCGAGCAGCAGTAGTACTCTTGAGGTGACATTTGCCTCTTTAGACCCACACACATGCACAATTGACTGTTGTTGCTGCTTATCTAAAACACAAACACACTTACACTTGGATCACCTGAGTAGTCGTCGATCAGAGAAAAAACTGCTCATTCAATGTCAGTCAGTCAGTCTTTCAGTGTCAGTTTGGCTGCACAATGAGTTTGCCTGCAGCAGAAATGGCAGCAGAAGCGTCAGAAGCCGCCGCCAACGAGGTGGATTTTTCTCGATTGACATGGCCAATGTCAAAGTGTCTCCTCTTCTCTTCCCATCCGCTGCCATTAGTAGGCCATCTAATCACCTGTCAGAAAGCACACACAGGCTATTGTTTCAATAACAGCCAGAATAACGGTAATCTATTCGTGATCACGCGATATCTTAATGTGAAGACGATATCATGTGAAGTTCACAGAAGCACCACCTCTACCACCACCACCTCCATTTGCCCGTCACTTTCCGCTGTCTGCCTGTCTCTGTGGTAGAGCCAATGAGCATAAACACTGACTGACTGACACTGGTAGTGGTGGACAGGTAGACAGGCAATTAACCGAAATGCTTATGGAAGTATAACACACACACACTGATACACACAATCAGACTGGTGGAGGCGGTGGTGGTGGTGACATTTGCCTACGCTCAAGGCAAATAATAACAAGCTCAACTTGCAAAGAAGAAGCGCCAGAGTTGGGCACGAGGCAGACGAAGGAGTCTCTGACAACTCGGCAATTGAAAAACAGTAGTAGTAGCTCAAGAGTGAAGGACGTCTGAAGCTGAAGGAAAGAAAAGAAGAAAAGTACTTCAAACAAGCGACATGTTATTCGGGCACCCACCATTCAACCTTGGTGGCAGTGAGCACCTGGTAAACACTTTGTGTCAAACACTCACTCCCTTTCTCCCTCTCTATCACTGCCACTGAACTAATAACACTGATAGCTCTGACTAGTGCGCAGCAAAAAAGTAGGTCTCAGGTGGTTTGTGCGGTGGCTGTGGTCTTTTCTTTTATTCTTTTTCTTTTTTGTCGTTTTCGAGAGGATACTACAACAGGATGAGTCGGCTCGATCTCGTGTCCGTTGTGCTTCTCTGTTTTGTTGATTTATCGTTTCGTTTTTTCCTTTTTTGCTGCGACAATGCTGCGGCCAATTTGGGCAATAGCTGCAACCGCAAAGGCGGTGATTCAACTGAATCGGCAACGATGGTGATTTGATTTATTATTATTTACCTGTGCGCCACAGCACATGAGACTCTGTGTATGCCACTGTCACTGCAATTGGCAGCCAAGTGGCATTCAATTCTCAGTCTATTTACCAGTCGCTACTACAGTGACTGTGTCCACCGCTCAGCATTGCTCAGCCATTAGCCGGTCATTGCTGTCTGCTTCTCATTTAGAAACGGTAGCAGTAGGAGCAACACGAGAGCAACTTCTGCTTCTGCTACTGCTGCAGCCTCTTACCATTTACATAATTTTAGCCAACCAGGCAGGCAAATAGAGCGCCGAATTAGGAGGAGAATGTGTGTGTGTTTGTATGCTGAGGACAAATGCGCCCAAAATAGCTGAACTGCACCGGTTGAACTGCTGTTGCTGTTGTTGTGTCCTATGGCCAGCTAATGAACTTGCATTCGGTCATTCCCTTTCGTTTTCGCTTTCTCATTTTGCAGTCTCATACTCACTATCGTTCGGTAGAATTTGTCTCAATTACCTCGTTTTCACTTCCTCAACCTTGCTACCTAAACTACTTTTTGAAATTCAGTAAAAGCTCAATGTGAATGAGTGAATAACAATGACAATTTAAAAAACTTAGAAATGATAAAAATCATTTGAAAAATGTAGGCGCCGAAAAGAGAAGAAAAGCCTACAAACTCTACTTGCTTGAAGAGGATCCCTTCGATGAGGATCCCTTTGAGGAGGAGCCATGCGAAGAGGATCCTTTCGAAGAGGAGCCGTGCGAGGACGATCCATGCGAGCCAGAAGATCCCGAAGAACCGGAAGCTCCGCTGGATCCACTGGCGCCGCTGCTGGATCCGCGAGAACTCGAACCACGCGAGCTCGATCCACTGCTTCCACTTGCACCACTTGAGGATGATCCTCGAGAGCCGCTGGAAGCACTGGATCCACTGGCACTGCTTCCACTACTGCCACTGGCGCTCGATCCACGAGAACTGGATCCAGTTCGACTGCCCGACGACTTGCGCGAGGAGCTCATCGACGAGGAGGACTTGGAGCCGCTGAGGCTGCCCTTGCTGCTGCTGCGACTGCCGCTGGCGGCGCTGCTGGACGCCTTAGAGGCCTTCGAGGCCTCCACCGCTCGACTCATCTCCTCCTCGTCGACCATCGAAGAGGCCACCGGGGCGTCGTGGCCGAAGCTGAGGTCGCTGAAGATGCGAATCAGAGGGAGGCCGCAGCGAATGGTGGCGTCGGTGCGCTCTCGGGCGACGTCCTCTCGGTGCGTCTCCACCAGTATCACGCTGAGACCGGCTTTGTGGGCGGCCACGCCCTCCATGCCGTAGTGCGTGCAGAAGAGAATGTCCTCCGCGGGCAGGCCCAGCTTGCTGACCACCTGCTTAAATGTGCTGGCGTCCTCCAGTGAGCCCAGCTCCGTGTCGAAGTAGGCCTTGATCTTGCCGGAGAGATCACCGTGATTGGTCACCGAGAGGAACTTCTTGTTGGCGTACGCCCAGCCGTTGGAGAGCATGTACACGTCGATGCCCTCGCTGGGCCAGCCGTTGATGCCGTTGGCGGCGTCAGAGTACACCGCCGTCTGCAGCTTGTTGCGGTTGTAACCGTCGAAGATCATGTGGAAGCTGTGAAAAGCAGAAGTTAGTACAAAAAGTGTTTCTACAAAACACAAAAGGCTTTTACCTAAAGTTGCGAATGGCATCAGTGTTGGTGACCTCATTGAGGCAGCGCTGGACGTAGGCGACCACCGTCGGGCGGATCTTCTCGGGAATGTCGCCGGCGCGGGCGATGGCCGGTCCACCGTCTTCCTGCGACTGCTTGCGCAGCAGCTCAATGTCGCGCATCAGCACCCGATTGCCCCAGTTGTTGGCGAGGTAGGTGTCGACGTTCTGCTTCATGTAGGGGAAGATCACCTTCTCGATCCAGTTGGTCTTCGTGACGGTCCCGACCATGTCGAGGAGCACTGCCTTTGGGTGGCGGACGCGGATGGCAGTGCCGCCCTGGGACTGTGGTTTTGGACCACCAGCGGCTGAGGAGTGATGTGAACCGGAAGGAGGATGGGCGGATCCGGCGGTGCCTGAAGCCCCAGTGGCCGAACCAGTTCCCGAGCCACCTCGACTGAGCGAGTGTTTCGAAGAGGACTTTGAAGAGGAGGGCCTCGAAGAGCTGCTGCTGCCCTTGCTAGAGGAGCCTTTGCTAGAGGAGCCGTGGCTGCTGGAGGATGATCCAGAAGAACCACTAGCCGAAGATCCCGAAGCACCGGAGGAGGTGTGAGTGCCGGAAGAAGTGCGCGAGCCACTAGAGCCACTGGCGCCGCTTGAACCGGACGAACCGCTGGCCCCCGAGCTGCCTGAAGAGTGTCCTGAAGAGCTGCTGCCAGAGTGACCTGAGGAGGCGCCTGATGAGCCGGAAGCTCCTGAAGAGGAATGTCCCGAACTGCCGGAACTGCCTGAAGCGCCCGAGCTGCCGCTGCTGCCGCTTGGCTTGCTTGACGATGATGATCCCTTGCTGCTTGACATGCTGCTTTGGCTGCTGTTCCAACAACGGCTGCTTTAGAATAGCACAAAAGTAAAGAAAGAAGTTTTTTTTCAGCAAGCACAAGCACACCGAACAATGACCGGAATTGGAGAATGATGACCCCGGTTTTAAGGAGCTGACGCAAAGTTCGAATTTAGTCTCCAAAGTTTGTTGACTGGCACTAAAAAATTCTTTTTCTCTGTTCTCTTGTCCGGTCAATCCAATTAAACGGCCATCAACACCACCACCGCCACCACAACAGCAACTATTAATCATTGCCGTGATCTCTTCTATATTTGTCCCTCTCCTTTCTTACACAGGCATTACATAAAATTCATTCACCCAATGCTAAATAAAAAGCGAATGTGAATGTGCACCTTGCAATTGCCTCAAAATAGTCTCTACACAGTCTCTGCAAAGTTCATTTTGTTTCTCAATGACGGTGAAATTTTGTTTGCTCTTGATCGCCGAGTCCAGCAAAGTGACTGACTGACTGAGTGGTGCCTTTGCCCCCTGAGAAAGAAAGAAAGGCTCATCCAGGCGAGACAGCACTGTGCACTGTGGGCGCCAGATCAATGTACCAGAAGAGTGTGTAGTACAAAAGTGCCCCTTCTTTTCGGGGTAATTGAAGGTGCAACAACTTCTTTCACATACCGTTACTACTACTTCTGCAACTTTCTCAGTTCCACTCACCGTTCACTGACCACCAGAGCACCCTGAGCGAGAGAAGTGAAGGAACCCATAGCGTCTAAAGATAACCTCCCCATCTTCCCACCAGAAAGTGCGAGTTCATTGGCAGAGTACACACCAGTACTTTTACTACTTTTAGGACATTGGCAGAAAACAATAAAATACAATAGAATAGCAAAAAGGTGGTGTATTAATGTTTTTATGCAGTAAACAAAACAATTCCCCTTCCAGAAGAGAGTAAGGGAGAGGAAGAAAGATGAAAACAAGCAATAGTGAATATTTTGACTAAAGACAAATAGGTGGCCTAAAAGTGCAGTCTAAAAGGACTTTAACCGGTGCTGGAGGCGGTGGAGGTGAGGCGAAACATGTCCAAAACCTCTCGATTGTACTCCGCCAGCAGCTTCTCCACGGTCACATTGAGGGCGCGAATCTGCACCAGCCAGCTAGTTCTCTGGCCGGCGGTGATCTGATTCTGGGCGTAGGCCGTCTCGCTGAAGTAGCCCGCCTCATCGAAGCACCCGTAGAAGGGCGCCATCTCCTCCTTGAGCCTGTCCACAGTGGCGAAGAGCTCGGCGAAGGCGTCGGCGCGAGTGCGGGCGTCCATGAAGCGGGAGATGTCCGTCGGGTCGGTGGGAGTTGCGGTAGAAGTACTTTCTCCAGCAGCAGGCGCCTCCTTGGCCAAAGTTGCAATGGTGCTCGCCGAGGCGGGAATGAGCGTGCCCGCAGCTGCCGCAGTAGCCGCCTTTTCCTTCTTCGTTGTCTTGATCCGTCGGCGTTGTAGGCTGACCAGCGAGGCGATGATCTGCTCATAGGAGTCGTGCATCGTGTTGACGTTGTTCGTCAGCTCGTACATGGCGTCGTACAGCTCCTCCAGCTGAGACTGGTCGGTGACCACCTCTTCGGAGCCTGCTGCATCGACTCCTACCGGAGAAGGTGACTGCTGTATCGGCTGTTTTGCTGCCTCCGGGTTGGCGTTGATCTGCTTCATCAGACTCTTCAGCAGCTCCAGGGCGGCCAGGTCGTTGGGCGAGCCGAGGATGATGATGGTGTTGCCACCGCCTGGTGCCGTCTCTTGGACGTTGGTCTTCCCCGGTGGTGGTGGTGGTCCCTGTTCACCGGCAGCACATTTGGGAGCTCGCTTCGGACCGAAGCTTTTGTTGGGAAGAACAGCACCGCCGCCGACCTTGCCGCGAGACTTGGGACAGCTCTTGGGCCGAGTCTTCGGACGCTTGGTGGTGCTCTTTGTCTTCGCCTCCGGTGAGATGCGCCCCACGATGGTCTTTGCCTTCATGAAGGTGCTGCTGCTGCCGGTGTTCGCCACCTTGCCTGTCTGCTTGATGGCACTCAGTCGACGACCTCCACCACCTGCACCACCATCTTTGCATGTGCGAGTTTTACTAGCAGGCTTCAGCGCCGCCGCCAGCTCCGTGATCATCTGCTCTCGAGGGCTCTTTAACCGCTCTCGCTGACAACCACTACCTCCCTCTTCGGTCTTCGGCTGAATGGAGCCCTTCTGCAGTAGTGACTGTCGCGATGACTTGGGCCGACCTTGGTGCTTGCTGCTGCGCTTGTTGCCCGTCTTCGGGCGTGACTTGACGCGGCTCTTGCTGTGCTTTATAGTGAGGGCGATATCATCAGCACTGGTGTCGGCGCTGGTTGGAGGGTTGTTATTGTCGGCGTGGGTCACCTTGCCGGCCACCTTCATCACTGTACTGCGAGAGTGATGCACTTTGCCCTTGCCCCTGTCTCTTCCCCTTCCCTTGTTGTCTGCTGAAGTGGGAGGCATTTGGTGCCTTGCTGAACGGGTACCAAAAGTTGAGGTGAGGCTTGAAAGCAAAGTTGCCAAAAGTCGCTTGAGATGACTGTGCCACTCTTATTTATTTATCACTAGCTTTTCGAACTTTTTTGCGCTATTCAGATATCTGTGAGTTTAATAATTCGTAGTAATCGTGTCATAGTGAACAAATTGAACAAAAAAATCAAAACAAGATCTGTTGCGGGAGAGGAAAAAAGAGGAAACTAATACATACATTGGCTGACTAATAGTGCTTAACTAGAGAAATTGTTTACGGTTCCTAGAGTGTTCTGCCTTCTTCTGCTTAATACCGACGATTTCCGTAGAACCGACTATTTTCGCCGCCGCCGTTTCGGTCGTAACGGTTTTGCTTGTTGCCGTATCTGCTGTTGTAGTTGTCACCGTAGTTCCTGTTGTTATTGTAGTTGTTACTGAAGAAATTGTTGTTGTTGTTATTCCTCTTCTTGTACTTGGTGTTGTAGTTATCTCGGTAGCTGCTGCTCTCCGCAATCTCCCGCAGCTCATCGGGCACCTCATTCCTCGACTCCTCCATAATCTCCACCAGTTTCTTCGCCAGAGTGGTCTTCTCGTTGTCGATGAAGAAGGAGTACGAGTGGCCCTTGTTCTGCTTGCGACCAGTTCGGCCAATTCGATGCACGTACGTCTCAATGTCATCGGGCATGTCGTAGTTGACCACCACACTGACGTCGTCAATGTCCAGGCCACGAGCGGCGACATTCGTCGCCACCAGCACCTTGATGCGGTCCGACTTGAAATCTGTTGATAAAAGTTTTTGATCAGTAAACAGTTGACATTACAGCCAAAAAAAAAGGTTTGCCTACCTTGAAGTGTCCGCTCCCGTTGATTCTGCGTCATGTCGCCGTGCAGAGGAAAAGCTCGCGTCCGGGTGGACCGCTGCACCATTCGGGCTACTCGGTCGCAGCCGGCCTTGGTGTTGGCAAACACCAGCACCCTCTCATCGGGGTGATTCCGCAGCACCTCACCCAGCTGCTGGTCTCGTTCATTGGGCGCACACACCGTGACGTGCTGCTCAATGTTGTGATTGGCCACCAGCTTGGTGCCGCCAATGGAGAGAAAGGCGTGATTCGGTCGCAGGTACCGGTGCACCAGCGACTTCACCTCGTCCGGCCAGCTGGCGGAGAACATCATCGTCTGACGCTCTTTAGGGCACTGGTTGATGAGGTAGGAGATCTGCGGCTCAAAGCCCATGTCCAGCATGCGGTCGGCCTCGTCGACAACTACAAAAAAGAAAACTAATCAGAATTTGATTTTTATCAAACAAAAACATCACATACCAAGATACTCAATCTCTTTCAGACTGAGGCAGTTCGAGTCGAGCAGATCCTTCAGTCGGCCTGGTGTGGACACCACAATCAGCGGAGTTTGATTTTCAAGGAAGACTACCTGCTTTCTACGATCACTGCCACCGTAGAGACAGACGGTCTTGAACATGCGGAATTGTCTCACAACGTCGAAGATTTGCAGCGCAAGCTCTCGAGTGGGCGCCAGCACCAGCACCTTAGGATTAAGTCGCTTGGACGGTTGTGAGAGCTTCTCCTCGCTGTACTCTTCATCACGATTACTGGAAAAGTAGTCACGATGAATGGAGAAAAACTTTTTGAATGCAGGCAGAAGGAATGCCAGTGTCTTTCCAGAACCAGTTTGTGCAATTCCTGGCAAACAAAAGTAAATCGTTAGTTAGAAATTAGAAGGTTTTTCTGTTGACTAATTACCAATCAAATCACGACCAGAAAGAAGAATGGGCAACGATTGCGCCTGAATCGGCGTTGGACTTGAATACTTATACTGGTCCATCAGTGCTTGCAGTTTGGGTGGAAACTGAATTTGACTAAAGTCTAGAATGGGCTTCTGAATTTTAGGATCTTGCAGGCCTTGCACGTGAATCTGATGCTCGCGAAAGAACTTTGCAACATCCTCATCTGAGACGTTCTTCACCTTTGTCTCGAGCGACTCCGGCGCTGAGTCTTCTTGCGCCTGCTGAAGCTCTTCGCTGATTGAGGCCGCCTTCTGGTGCTGGAACCGGACTGCTCCAAGCAGCATCAGATTGCTGCGCTGTTTTATCTCGGTTCTCTGCCTCTGGAGCCATTTGTGGCTGTCAGCTGGGCTGCTTACCGCCGCGTACAGTCGGCTTGAAGTGCGGGCACCTCCGGCGGCATTTCGGGCACTGCTCAGTGCCAACGAGAGCACCTGTCTTCTCAGATGATGCATCAGATTAGGTGTGGTGGCCGGAAATGAATGAGGAGGAGGGGGTGGAAGTGATTCGAATTCAGTTTGGGAACATTCAGGTGGTGAGACTTGCAATTTTCAAAACACGCGACCGCTCGTCCCTAATCTGCAAAAACACATGTATTTGCGCTCTAGTGCGCATGACCAAAACGTGCTGGTAACTTTTTCTCAAAAACTTTCTAAAGTATTTTTCTTGTTCACAGTTTGGCTTTATCATTAAAGAGAAAAGATGTGCTTTCAACCTTTATCAACTTTTACAGGAGATTTGATACATCAAAACCAAGTCATCAACATCAACTTCAAGGATCAACAGCTTCTCTAATGGCTCGCCTTGAGACTATTTGCTTTAGTGTTTTATTTCACTCTGCGACTCTGAGAGAATGTTTTAAATTCCGGACGCTGATTCACATTCGAATGAAAACGCCGAAATTGTTAGGTAATGTTTTTAATGCGAATGTCCTTCATTTACTTTGCAGCGTGGAAATTAATTCTCTAACGACTAATGTGTGTTTTATCCTCGAAGACGACGATTTAAAGTCTGGCTTTATTTATTTTAAGCAAAAACGCTGATGATGAAGATAATTGCGTTCAATAGAAAGAGAGAGAAGTCGCTGCAATTAGGGAAGACCTCCGAAAAGTTGCTTTCTCTCTCTGAAGATCTGGTTCCTGAGCAGCTTCATCCTGAGGAATTATGTCAACGGTGCAAGTAAGTAAGTCTGTCTGCTAGGGGAGCATTTGGCTTGCTTGCCAGAAGAAGCTTTGCATTGCCTGCATGGAAACTGCTGAGGTGCCGTCGACGTCTTCGCCGACGAGGTTTCGTCGCCGTGCAACACTGACGATTTATTTCTGTCATTCGCCGCCTAGTGAAACCTCGATTCGCCTCTCCTCGCATTCGCACAACAGTCGATTGCCCACGAACACACTGGTGTGCACCTCTCGGAGAACCATTGCCATTGCAGTCTTGGTAGATTAGAGGGACAGCAAAAGTGTTGTGAATCTTTCCGAACAGAACCCTTGCTTTCGATTTCAGTGATTTCAGGCATAGTACAGCCATTCTATCCATTTCCCCTAGCACCTGTTGCTGATGAAAAACACGCAACAAGAAAAAGAAGAATGGAATAGTTAGTTAGACACAGTTTAGACATTGGCCTTTCTTTTAGCAATCAGCATTGCACGTAATTTTTGCCATTTTGTTTAAAGTTCATCACCTCGTGCACCGATTCAGCGGCATTTGAGTATCATTGCTCAAGTCTTATTATGATTATAGTGTCGTCTTTTTGAACACCAAAAAATTTCACTGCAACGCTTGTGCCACATTTTCCCTTCCCCTTCTTTTTTCCCTGCTCTGTTGTACACGTACAAAAACTCAGCTCTAAGTTCAGTTCTCTGTGCAATTCTGTCGTACAGAATCCACACGCACGCACACACACCTTTCTGCAGCTGTCCTAAAATTTAAGCCAGCACTTGGCGCCAAAAGAGCTGCTGCCGCCTCTGTAGGCATTGGCGGAAATTTGTTGTCTTCTATCCTCGCCACCCGGCGCCCAGAATGCTGCTTCACACTGCAGTGCCGGTGCAACACTTTAGGGATTTATCTGTCTCACTGTGTCTGCCTGCCTTCCTGCCTGCTCTTTAACGATTCACCCATTTGCACTCGCACCGTTGGCGCATTAAGCAAGTGCTCGATAAGCAAGGAGTTCAGTTTTAAGTTACCACTTATACCACTGCAGAATTCTGACGAGTCTCAGCACTGTCGCACTCATTTTACTCGTTTCTAAAAGCCATCATCATCCTGCACGTTCATTTCCACACCTCAGTCGATGGTGGAAGGAACACTGTGCTCTGCTGATGATGAGGAAATATGAAAGCGAGGTGCGTCTAATTGCCCGCCGATTGAAGTCTTGATGGCTCGACAGCGACTTCTTTAAATCACTGTTCAGTGTCTCTGCTCTGTTCAGTTCTGTGTGCCTGTGCATATGTGTTCTGTGACCAAAATAATTTGTGTCCCAATTTTTTCTGCACATGTCAACCCTTTCTCATGAGCAGTGCACTTCGTTCATATTCTCCTCGTTGCTCTCGATTCTCCTCCAGTGTCTCTTTTCAGTGCTTGTGTTTGTGTTTTAGTGTCTCCTGTGCTTGTGTTCTCCTTCTTCTTCTTCTTCTTCTTCTTCTGTTCACCGGTTCCCAGTGAATTGTGAATTGTGCTTAGCTCAGTGATTATTGCTCTGTTTTCTGTTTTGTTTTTTCGTTTGCTCTTCTTGTTTAATGTGCAGTGCAATAATCAAGGCAAATCGTGGCCCAGCAGCCCAACGGCATCAGCAGCATGTGCTGCGCCGACTGCCCGTGCAATACCATTTTTGTTGTGCTGTGTGTGATTGCCATTCGGCAAATGTGAGCATTCGGTTCTAAGCACCACAATTTGTATGCTTCATTTGAGCCACCTCGTGGTGATGCTGCTTTCACTTGTTGTGCAACAGTGTTTTGAACTTTGAATTTCGGTGCATCTTTTGCAAAGTGCGTCTTGTGGTGTCAATCAGTGTAGTGCACGCAGTGAACAACACAAGCTCATCAATAAATCAAGTTGCAAGTTTTGGCGATCATTTTCTGGTAATTTATGCATGATATTTCACTAAAACTTTTTGCCTGATTTTCATTCTTGCAAGTAGCTTTTAGTTTGTGTTTATTTTGATAATTTGTTTGTTAAGTTAGCTGTAGTGCAAACTATTATTTAGACAATGAAAGTCAATGTCTGTCAGTGTGCTTCGTCTTTGTGTGTTTGCTAAACCGCATCCTCTCTGCGCATTGTTTTCACACTGCTTTTAAATTCTTCACTTTAAAATTGCCTTCACGACTCAGTGGATGGCAGTAGTGCGCTCTTTGCCGCGCGATTCTTTGCAGAATTCTTTGCATTCGTTCAAATGTTTTTTATCGTCTGACGAAGAAAGCCTTGGCTTTTGATGGCGGGCACACTGATCGGTGATTGAATTCCACTGCCACAGCACTCATCACTTCTGACGTCTCTTTTCTTTTCTGTTTATGCTTGGCAGTGAAGGGCAAGTTTCCCTTCTTTTCTCACCATCTCACTTCCCCTTTACACCTCAGCAGACCTTCACTTTCCCTCTTCCATTTTCCGCGAATCANGTGTTCCCTTTCCTTCTCTTCTCACCATCTCATTTCCCCTTTACACCTCAGCAGACCTTCACTTTCCCTCTTCCATTTTCCGCGAATCAATTCCACGTTCTCTATTGCTTTTTTATTGATTCAGTGATCAAGCCAGCCAGCCAGTCAGTCAGTTAGTTTTGCCAGCAGTTTAAGGTTAACAGCTAATCGGTTGCGCGTCACTAGCACTAGCTAAGAAAGAAGAAGAAGAAGAGGCATAGGAAATAGGCGAGGGCCAAGAGAAGGGAATACGTGCCCGTTGAATATTCGGGCAATGAGTATTTATATCCCTCTAGTGTTTCCCTCCAACTTGGCCAAGTATAAGCCTGCTGATTCTGATGATGCTATTTTCTTTCCCTGACGTGCTTTGCTGCAGTGATCCTCTAACTTTATTCCTCATTTTCTGTTTTCCTTGTATAGATTTGCTTGTTTAAAGTCAGCCGATAGATTTTTCAAACATTGAGCAAATTAGCGGAAATTACGGGTATTTGAAGGGAAGCAACAATGAAACAACTGTTGATCGCACTTTTTTTTGCTAAACGCGAGAGCAATCGTTGTAGTGGGGCAACATTTGGTGATTAAAATAAAGAGCAGTTTGACACAGTATTGACAACACTGCAGTGGTGATAAATTGATTTCTGCTAAAGTGATTTCTTCTTTTTCCACACTAGCTGGCGTCAGTGTTGCCGGCGGCGCTCCCGGCGGAAGTGAGCGGATGTGTCTGTCTGTAGATGTCACTGGTAGTGTACATCACCACCACCACACCTCCGCTCACTAGTTCGCAATAGCTATAAATATCTCCGTAGCATTTTACTGACTGCGACTGCTTCGAGTGTTGAATGTGTTACCAGCGAAGGGCTTGACTTAGACTTTTGGATACAAAACAAGGCTCATCCGAAAAAAGAGAGGGGAAGAATCAGTGCAATCATTACAGCACAGCACTGGAACCTCATGTGACTTACCCGTAGTTTACGTGTACAGCTTGCGTTTGTGTCTGATTGCGCGCCCATTGCCTACTCGCACCTTGCTGCTCCACCAAAGCTCTTTCTGTTGCTTCTTATTCTTTGTCGGCGCTAATTAATAGACATGGAAAGACAGCATTGCAGGCACTGCTTTCTCTTTTTCTAAAGCTTGTCGACGTTTGCACAAATCTGACGTACTTCCACTCGCTCCCTGGTTGCCAAGCTCACTTTCCTTTTTCTGGTGTTCACCTTTTTCCATGCAATGATCATTAAACTGACATTGATCACTGTCAATTAGACTCAACAGGCAAACCTGTCAGGCAGGCAGAAGTGTCAGTGAGCAATTTGCAAACCAACTAGACATGACATGATGTTGCAGCTTCAAGGTTCTCATGAGGTCGAGCGCGAGGACTTGACTGAACGCCAAGTGCAGCAGCAACTGACTGCCGGCAATCAACACAGTATTCCTGTTGTCGGTCTATTTTTTGATTTGTCAAACGAACGCGAAAAGCAGACCAATTTAGAGCTGGTGTGATCATCAGTGTGTGTGTGTGTCATTATGGGCTTTTATTCTCATCTGCGCATCACTTTGCTGATTAAATGTCACTTTGTGTGCTGCTGTTGTTGCTGTTGATGACAGTAAGAGGTGTCGGCAAGGTTTTTCTTTCCTTTTGTTTTGTTTGCACGTCACAAGCTTGTGATGCTGACAGTTCTTTCTCGCTTTGTTCTCTAGTCCACTGACCTGTTGCACTAATCTTACCCTTCACGAGTATTAGAGCATTTTTTCCCGTTAACACCATTGCAAAGAACGCACACTATTCTTATGCCCAAATACAGATTGAGTGTTATTTTTAGGATTCTTTAAAACGACATAAAAAACAAAGTTGTCTTCTTTTAGTTTGTTTCCTGTTTATTCCTATTTTAGCATCTTTAAGCATCCTTCCTGATGTCCAAATTAGTCATTAAAAAATGTGTGTGTTTACTAATCTTTAATGCTTTTAATCTGTGTTTTTAGGTCGTCACAGCCAGCCAAATTGGTTTCGAGACGCTCTAAAGAACAGACTTGTTGGTGGTGTCTGTGTCATTGCTTTCATCAAAGCGTATCCAGTCTCATGTGAAATGTGATGTACGTTTCTTCGTAGCTTCGGTGTGACCCTTCAGGTTCCTGCAGCAGCAGACGAGTCATCGAACGTACGTATTCTCCTCTCTCCGCACTCTTTTCTACGCACTCTGTTCTCTTGTTCTCTCTTGTTAGTCTCTAATTACTTCCATGCCCCTCTTCCACGATTCTATTTGCACACAGATTCATCGTCGCCCTCTCTTTTTATTGTTCGACTTGTGTGTTTTTCCTCTCTTCATCTTTTACTTCAAATCGACAGCGTCAGCAGAACATACGTAACCGGTGTCTTCAAGCGTAACTCCAGCTCGTGTAGCGGTACACTCTTTCTGGTGACTACTTTCTCTTTCTTCTGTGCCACTCCCACCCCATCTTCGCGCAATGATCCGCCAGTAGTTGATTATCTTCTCCTAGTTTTACTGTGCTAGTGTTTTGTGTGTCTATTGCTCCCATGTACAGTTTGGGGGCAGAGGAGGGAGAACCGAATTCTGGCAGTGTGCCCTTTCAATTTGCGAGTCGCTCCTTCTGCTGTGGCAGCATTACTCACTTTTCTGTGCTTGTGTAGTTTGTGCTCCAGTCTCTGTGTCGTCGGTTCAGCCAAAGTTTCTTCAGTCCAAAAGTGTGATACCACCACCTCCGCCACCACCACTGCCGCCATTGCCACTACCATTGCGCCCAGTGACGACGACGAGTGGAAACACTGAAACACAAATCTCCCACATTCTCCGCAGCTGATTCTATTTTCGTCGAATCTCTCTTTCTCTCTCTTTGCTGTGAGTGAAGGAAGGAATCGCGCACCGTCGTCGTCTTCTCCGCCACCACCATCAAGTTCTTCGCACTCTGCAAACGAGTACGACGACGACGACGTCTTTTTCCTCCCCACCGGCCACATCCTCTTCTCCCCCGCTTTCTCAAAAACCTCACCAGTATTTCTAGTATTGCTAGTTACACTGTTTCCAGTCAGACTGAAGAGCTCAGCAGCAGCAGCAGCAAATCAGAGCGAGTGGCGAAGAGCACTCAACAGAACATTCTGTCCCGTTCTTGCTTGCTCTCGGTCCGCGTTGTTTCACTGCTGTGTGTTGCACATTGATTTTGACAAAACTGAAATTTTACTCGCTCAAAACAGTCGCCGAAGAAGGAGGAAGAGGAGGAGGAGGAGGGGAGGCCTCCTTTTTTCTGCAACTCGAACAACTCGAACATGACTGCCGACTGAAATAGTTGAGTCTTCTCACGAAGAAAGACATCTCAAGGGATAGCTGAAAGCTGCAATATTGTTATTTACAACAAAACAGAAACAACCATTCTGAAATCACATCAGCCTCTAGCAATCAACTCTCTGATTGCCCCCAGAGTCTGTCTCTTTCAGCGGATTAACTCATTTACCATTTTTCCACCACCGCCACCAAATGCTCCTCTCAACGGCCTACCTCGCCCTTGTTACTGTTGACTACTCAATCTCAACTCTTCTTCACCTTCTGTAAAGAATCCTTCCACAACAACAACCACAACACTCACTCACTCACAATGTCTGCGTGGAGTCAGCTGGAGCAGCTGCTCACCTGTGCCATCTGCCTGGACCGCTTTCGCAATCCGAAGCTGCTGCCATGCCAGCACACCTTTTGCGGAGAGCCCTGCATGGAGGGCCTGGTGGACTACGCCCGCCGGCAGATCAAGTGCCCGGAGTGCCGGGCGGAGCACCGCATTCCCTACAACGGCGTCCAGTCCTTTCCGAACAATGTGACGCTCACCCGTTTCCTCGACCTGCACCGGGGCATCACCGGGGAGGAGCCGGAGCCGCTGCCCTCGCAGATGGACCGCTGCGGTGTCTGCGGCGAGAAGTCCTTCTGCCTGCGCTGTGCCCACTGCGAGAAGAAGGTCTGCGAGGAGTGCCGCTCCGCCCACCTGGACATTCTCCGCCGGGAGATTAACCGCATCAACACCCAGGTGCGGCGCAGCCTGACGAAACTGGCCGAGCAGACGGCGCAGACGGGCAAGAGCAGCGAGCGGCTGGCGGTGGTCAGCTCGCAGATCAGAGACGAGATCACCGAGTCGGTGCGCCGCTTCATCAAGGACCTGAAGGACAAGGAGGCGAAGCTGCTCGCCGACCTGGACGAGTTCACCGAGTCGGAGTCGAAGAACAGCGAAAAGCTGACCGATGACCTCGACCTGGAGCTCGCGACCATCACCAGCAACTGCGAGCTGGTGGAGGAGCACGTCACCGAGGCGGACGAGTGGACCGACGTGGAGCTGATGGAGTACAAGGACATCTTCATGAAGACGCTCGACTTTCTGCGCAACCTCGACCCCGACACGATGGACCTCTCGCGGAAGATCAAGTTTGTGCAGAAGGTCGACCTGGATGCGATGCGCCGCAACGCCGCCGACTTTGGCGAGATCAAAATCACCGCCCCGGCGGCCAATCTCCTCTCCAGCGGCCTGCTCTCTCCCTCTGACTCCTCCTCCAATCTGATGGTGCCGGGCAGCAATCTGATGCGCAGTCAGAGTGACCACCGACTGGCGGCGCAATTTGCCAACAGCGGTTCCTCCGGTAGATCATCAGCGAAGGACGCCCTGCAGCGCAGCTACCTCGACGTGACCGGTGGCAGCAGTGGCCGCTACGGCAGCGACTCTGACCGGGAACGGGGCGGCTCGCCGCCTGGTCGGCGTGGCGAGCGCTTCGGCTCGGTGCGCTCTTACGGCGCCCGCGGCTCTGAGCTGAGCTACACCAGGGGCTGGGAGCGACCAAGCGACTCGACGGCGGCCAGTGCCGCAGACTATGAGCCCTCGAATAGCTCCAACTTTCGCTCGCGCTTTATGCGGGAGCGAATGAGGGGTGGCGGTGCCGGCGGCGATGATCACAGCTTTGAGGACGGCCACGACGACGTGCCTAGCCATCGGGTGCGTTTTCAGGAAGAGGCCGGTGGTGGAAACGGAGGAGGCGGAGGCGGATCATCAGCTCGGACGAAGCTCTTTGACACCGAGGAGATGGCCGCCCTGCGCGCCCCCCTCAGCGGCATCATCAAACTAGTGGATTCGCCCTTCGTCATGGAGCGCGTCCACCAGAATGGCGTCAAGGCGAAGCANGATCACAGCTTTGAGGACGGCCACGACGACGTGCCTAGCCATCGGGTGCGCTTTCAGGAAGAGGCCGGTGGAAACGGAGGCGGAGGAAGCTCATCAGCTCGGACGAAGCTTTTCGACACCGAGGAGATGGCCGCCCTGCGCGCCCCCCTCAGCGGCATCATCAAACTANGGCGGAGGCGGATCATCAGCTCGGACGAAGCTCTTTGACACCGAGGAGATGGCCGCCCTGCGCGCCCCCCTCAGCGGCATCATCAAACTAGTGGATTCGCCCTTCGTCATGGAGCGCGTCCACCAGAATGGCGTCAAGGCGAAGCAGAAGGAGCAGGAGGCGAAGGAGAGCGGCAACGCCCCCGCCAGCTCGCTGCCCTCATCGGCGCCGACGCCCGTCATGCCGGTCACTCCGCCCCGACCTACTCGCCAGGTCTCCGAGGATGAGATTGAGAAGCAGAAGAAGGCGAACAAGGCAGAGGCGGCGGCTTCGGCTGCCAAGACGGGCACACCGGCTCCAAAGACAACTACATCGTCTGGTGCTGCTTCTGCAGGCTCACTGGCCGTGGAAAGCTCAGTTTCCAGTCGAACTTCACCTTCTTCAACGACGACATCTTCTTCTGTGGCGGCCACAACCGCCGCCGCCTCCAACCGGCGCGTGCAGGCGCTGCAGAAGGAGGACACTCGCGCCTCGGTGCGCTCCTCCGCCAGCTCTGACGACGGCTCGGAGGGCGGCGCCGACTCGGGTGATGTAACGAACGATGATGATTCAACTTCCGCCGCTGCTACAGCTGCCGCCGCCGCTTCCGCTGCTTCCTCTGCCTCTCGACGGCGCATCTACGCTTCCTCGCACGGTGGCGGAGGGTCCACCACCACCACTTCTAATGGCGCTGGGGCAGCTGCAGTGGCCGGCAGCAGTGTCGACTACTCCACGGCTGAGACTACGGCAGGACGGAGCTCTGCGTTGGCCAAGCAGGGCCCGGCAGGGTCCAGCACTAACAGGCAAGTACCAACTACTTCTTCTACTAGCACTTCTTCCACTAGCGCCAACACCACCACCAGCAGCACTACCAACAACAACAAATACAGCTCACCCTCAACTAACAACACCTCCTCTTCCACCACCTCCCCCTCCTCCTCCTCTTCTAAATCGAGCAATAGAAGGGCTAAGGCTAAGGATACTAACAACAACTACACTGACCCCCTTTACGACATTTCCTCCTCCTACACCACCCCCTCTTCAACTTCTCAACCTTCATCCTCCACTGCTCGCTCACTCTTCAGTCCGACCCGGAGCACCACCGCCACCAATTCCTCCGGCGTCAATTCCTCCCTCTCCAGCTACAGTACACCGTCTTCCTATCACTCTCCCAGCTCAGCCAACCACCTCACCGACTACAGCTCAACCAATCGATCCACTGCTCTGCACCCACTCAGCTCTCCATCCTCCTCTTCGGCCTACTCCTCACCCTACTCCTCCTCCACCACTTCCTCCTCCTCCACTTCCGCCAAGTCAAAGTACTCTGGCGGTGGTGGTGGCGGAAGTGGTTCGGCCATCAGCGACTACCTCCTCGGCTCTGATCTGCTCGACCGCGACATCACCTCCTCTTCTCCCTCCTCCTCCTCTCACAACTGGGCTACGGCCTACGATCCCTACTCATCTTCCACCACCCCCTCATCTCGGCTCAACTCTTCATCATCCTCAGCTCATTACAATTTCGACAACCCCTCCACTAAATCTCCCAGTAACTCTGCAGCACTGCTCAGCAGCTACGGCTCCTCCTCTTCATCTCCTGCTGCACGTCACCTCAATACTTCCTCTTCCATTTCATCTTCGGCGATGCCCAGTTCGGCAACGGCGGCAGCAGCTCACTCCTCCAGTCTAAGTAATCTGCCAACCTTTACCGCTCCCACTAACTCTCCGAACTTGCCTAACTGGCGTGGCGGGGGCGATCACGCCTCCGTTTCGCCTAGTCCGTCGGTGATCACGTCCAGCGCCATGTGCCTCGACCCGTCCTCTGGGGCCTCCTTCATGCCGCCGGGCGCCAATCTGGCCATTGCCCCTGCCATTGGTTCCACCGCCGCCGCCGCAGCAGCAGCAGCCGCGCCCAATCAGAGTACTGAGCCACTAATTTTGCCTAATGCATTACCGATGATTACTACTGATGATGATATTGTTGTCTTTGTTTCCACTACTGTTGTCCCTCATTCTTCTCTAGCTTCCACTTCTAAGAGACGCAAGCGCGCTCAGGCGGCGGCAGCGGCGGCGGCGACCTTGGCGGCTGCTTCGGCGGAACCGCCTGTTGCTGCTACTGCTGCATCGCCTGTTATCAGTGCCAGTGTCCAGCCAGCACAGGCGAAGGAGCACAGCAGGGGCGTCGACCACACCACAAGCAGCGACGATCACGCTACAGCCAAAACACCAGCTAAGGATCAGGAGCGCAGTAGTAGTAGCCGAAAGGATTCAGTTGATGAGGATGAGGAACAGCCGGCCAGCAAAGTGGTAGAGCCTCAGAGTAGTGGTAGTAGTGCCCAGGCGGCGGCTTCGGCTGCCAACAGGCGAAAGGTGATTCGCATCAAGGCACGACAGCAAGCTTCTGCTGGGGCGTCTTCCGGCGAGAGGTCTACTCCTTCGGACAATGCTTTTAGTCCACGAGAGAAACCCACCTACCGAAATGTCTCTGGTTCCCACTATGCAGGCTCCGTTCCAGGTCACTCTAGTTCGACTAGCGCTAGCACCACTACTTCCAACAACACCGGCACTAGCTATAACAACAGTAGTAGCAGCAGCACTTACCGGCCTAGCCACTCTTACACGCCTAGCTCCTATCGACCTAGCGCCTCCTCATCCTTAGGGTCTAGTTATGGCTTTCCAAGCACCAACACCACCATCAGCAACAGCAGCAGCACATCATCGCCCCACACTGCATCAGCCTTAACATCAACCTCAGCAACCTCGAACCGATCAAGCAGTCCACCTTCCGCACTGAACCGCTCCAATGCGTACCTCAGCAGTGCTCGAGCACAGACTTTAAGTAGTGGTAGTGGTGGTAGTGGAGGTGGTGCCAGCTCAACCAGTGCCACCACCGGCAACTACCGCCACAACCTCTCTTCGATGGGTCTACCCGGCACCAGCAGCAACAGCAGCAGCATCAGCAGTTCAAGTAATGTCACCCAGCTAATGCGAGCCATTGTATCCTGTAGTCGCTTGTCCTCCTCACCACTGCCATCACCTCCAACTACCGCAAACACCACCACCACCCGCTCAGGACTGATTTGCAAGGGAGCAAGGAACCTTCTCGAGGTGGCCGACACTGCCACTTTCAGTCTGCTTTGGTTCTTCTGCGAGGCGACGCTGATGGTCACCCTAGTGAGCTTAACTCTGATTACCGTGACGGTGCCTGATTCAATTTCACTCTGCCTTACTAACCAGTACGGTGGTGCCTGGTTCCTTCGTCCCAGCAATAGTGGTCGTGCAGTAGCAGAACATCGTGAACATCAAAGTGAGGATGGTGTTGAGCATCAAGAGCAGATGTCAGCTGAGGAGAACTCAATCGGACAGTAGTGTTATCAGTTAATTTTATTGTTTGAAGTTTTTACCACCGCCACCATTGTCGTCATATTTGAAATTTCATCATGAAAACATACTGCTCCAGTTTCATCAAACTAATCATCCCACTTTCTTTCCGCTTGCTCAAAACTCGGGTTTAAAAATTAGCATTTGTTTTTCAGTTTTAGATGTTTACATGTTTTGCATACTAAACTTCACACTACACTAAACACACAAACTCCTGACACTCGGCACTGAACTCTGCTTCATCCTTGTCCTCCCACCCTTCCTTCTTCTTTTCCTTCTACTTTTTCATCTTTTTCCTTCTTATTTCTGCACCACACTATTATTTAATTTTCTCAGCTTCTTCTGATGAGAACATTATTGCCACTACTTTCGTAGAACTCTCTAATCTAAATCTCTAAACTCTCTAACCCTAACCCCAATACTACTACTACTATTACTACTTCTAAGTCTCTCTTGATTACTAACCAATCGTATCCTTTTCTCTTTGCTCCTTTCCCCTCCCGCCGTTGCCGTTTCCGTTGCCGTTGCACGCCTCTGTGTGGACAACACATGCACACTCACCACCACAACTCCAAATCTCCAAATTTGAACCCCAGATTCGGCTTACAATCGACGGTGGGGCCGGACATATCGGTAACTGACACCGATCTGCTGCCTCGGCTGCCGGCGAGAAGACATGAGGCCACTCCAGCCGAGCACCATGAGTCGATCTCTTCACCACCACCACCACCAACAACAACAACAACAACACCATCAACACGTTCATCGCCACCACTACCATCATCCACTGCTTCAGCATCAACAGCTCTTGCATCAACTGAATCACCACCGCCAACAACACCACCCACACCAACACCAGCACCATCATTACCAGCAGCGCTTCCATCACCGGCACCGTCACCGACGCCATCGCAAACAGCCAGTGAGGGAGGCAGCACCGTAGAGAGCACGGCCACCACCAGTGAAACCGAGACAGAGGAGGAGGAAACGGAAACAGAGACAGAAGCAGAGACAGAGACTGACGCGGAAACGGAAGTGCCCAATTTCAATGCTGAGCCACGGCGGTCGATGCTGCCGCCGCTGTCTTTTCAAGCGTACGCCAAAACGAGGACCGACTCGCCGGCGCCGATGTTCGCCGGTGATGAGTCGGAAGATAATGAGGAGGAGGAGGAAGATGGGGACAATGATAATGAAGAGAATAGAGAGGAGGAAGAGGAAGAGGAAGAGGAAGCCACCAACTCACCAGCTAGCTCCGCTTCACTTTCTCCAGTGCCTCCCCAGCTGACTACTGAATCACCCTCAGAGCGGTCATCATCGTCCTCTCCACTGCCTTCGACCACTTCGACGGCGACGCTGACGATGCCCAGCGCTCCCGCTGCCACAGCCACTGCCATCAAAGGCCCGGGTGGTGTTGAGGTGGAGATTGTCACAAAGACGCCCNGCCAGTGAAACCGAGACAGAGGAGGAGGAAACGGAAACAGAGGAAGCAGAGACAGAGACTGACGCCGAAACGGAAGTGCCCAACTTCAATGCTGAGCCACGGCGGTCGATGCTGCCGCCGCTGTCTTTTCAAGCGTACGCCAAAACGAGGACCGACTCGCCGGCGCCGATGTTCGCCGGTGATGAGTCGGAAGATAATGAGGAGGATGAGGAGGAAGATGGGGACAATGATAATGAAGAGAATAGAGAGGAGGAAGAGGAAGCCACCAACTCACCAGCTAGCTCCGCTTCACTCTCTCCAGTGCCTCCCCAGCTGACCACTGAATCACCCTCAGAGCGGTCATCATCGTCCTCTCCACTGCCTTCGACTACTTCGACGGCGACGCTGACGATGCCCAGCGCTCCCGCTGCCACAGCCACTGCCATCAAAGGCCCGGGTGGTGTTGAGGTGGAGATTGTCACAAAGACGCCTAATGTCACCATCATGCGTCGCATTTCAAGTAGAGACTCCAGCTCTCCAGAGTCAGACTCG